CTTAGTTGGATCCATCGACATGATTACTGAAAGGAGCCAGTGACAGTGTTGCTCTGCTTTAAATAAGATATGAGATTTTATGATGAAGATATTCGTAGGTCGATCTTACGAGTTTATCTCCCCATCCGCCCATACACACGTATGCCCGCATGCAAATACAAGCAAACACAAATGCATGAACATACAAAACACGTGCGCAAACACATACGCATATGAAACATCTAGATAACATTACAATAAATTTACTAAAATTCATTTGTATCGAAGTAAATATAGCATGTACACGGTGGCAATTAACCCTCTTGACTTGGAGTTGTTACGATGACTGATGTGCAGCTCTGATGAGGTATGCCAAGTGTCATGACAAATAAATCCTTGATCCGCCTTCACAGGAAGTGAAAAAGAGTTTCGTGATAACTGCATTAGCCTGAATGTAGGAGTAAAGTAAAACTCAACTCATATCATTGTGGGAAAATTCATCACCTTAAGCGAAATTTGGTGAATACATCTAATATTACGAATTTAATAGTAGTCTCGAAACAATACTTAAGTAAATTGATAGAGCAAATATACGTTTTCTTCATCGACACTCCCACCAAAGAATGTGATATGGCAAAAAAGCCTGACCTTCCTTGAAAATTCACATTTGATCTGTAACCCAAAAGGCGTTCGTGGCAGTGTAGCCGATTGGTTAGTGTCAAACTCCCATCCTGTACTGTCGCGGTTCGCCTCCCGCTGAGGGTGTTGATAAAACCGATGCGAGGTCGAAACTGCAGTCCACTGGTGCCTTGAAGAGAACAACTTTTGGGAAAGCAAGGCTATGTGAAATTGAATGGAAACGTCAGCTCGAATCATATCATTGTGGGAAAATTCTTCTTCTACCAGTCCTTCATGACCTTAAACGAAATTAGGGGAATACATCTCATATTACTGATTTACGTGTAGTTTTGAAACAATACTTAATGCGAAAAATAAAGTAAAGCTGTGTAAGACCTAAGGGAATCCGTAGTTGTCTTCTGGTAAACTCGGTCCAAGCCTATCATTGTATCACCTGCACAAGTTTAAAGATAATTATGAGAAAAGCTATGGTCTAGACGCAACCGAAAGTGTTCTGCATATGTTGAGGGCACTTGCGAAATAACCGCTCGTAACATTCGCACTCGATACAACCCATGTCATCCGAAATAGTGGAATTAGACAACATCGAAGCCAACAACAGCATCATCAAGACTTTGGAACTTCTTTCACGGCGCAGCCTGAAGTTAGCCTGGTCATCCGCCCTACGCTGGGGAGCTTGTCCTCCATAGGCTCACCGAACGCCCAGCGTGACGCGGATGATCTCATAGACATCGAGCTCAGCCCAACCCACTCATCTGAATGTGGAGGCATTAGCAACCCTCAGTTGCATCGCATTTAGTCCAGCCATCCATATGCGAACTCTGTAACTATGTCCCTCATCTGAGCATTGAGAAAAGAAATGTTTGAAAAATAAGATAGTATTATAAGTGGCGCATAGTCGTGGTGTGGGCTGGAAAAACAGCTTTACAGAATGGGCTCAGGAGTCTGTAGGCCAAAAATGGTTAAAACAAGCCGACGTTCGAAATAGATGACCACAACAAAAGTAGTATATGATAAGAAAGTCTCGGCAGGAGCATAAGAATCGGCATCTAAATTGGATGCTCGGGTCTGGTTTCACGGCATAAAACTAGGCTTAATCTATCCTCGACATTTTGGGAGGAGAAATAAAAATCAAAATTAATCTAGAAAATAAGTGATAAAAGGCCCGTAGGTATTCTGATAAGGAGTAGAGAGCTAAGCCTGTGCATAAAATAGGCTCTATTGATGTAGCGTAACCAGAGGGGAGGAGGAGACTGGTGTACTACTCGGCAGAGACAACATAAAAGCGTTCCAAATCAAAGTAAACTGAATAAATGAATAAATAAATAGGCACTCAACGAGTGGCACGCAGGCAAAGGGCATCTACAAACTAAGAGCCAGATCTGGACGACGGAGCCGAAGGAGTGGCGAACCAACCAGCTTAATGTCTCCGTGAGCAGCTGAGGCAGAGGATGATCTTGCCAGCCGTGGCAAAAGCCGCGGGCAACGAGTTTCGCGACGCCAGGTCGTGGACTTCGCTGACGGCAGACTTGACTTCGCGGCCCAGCAGCGCCTTGTCGAGTCCGGTGATCTGAAGGATGATACCCTCGGCTAGCGCCAACCGTGTCGCTAGAGGGAAGAAGAAATGCGCGGACCCGCCGGCGGCGGCAGACGAATCCGACTCTGCCGGGGGAGTGGAGGCCGAGGGGAGCTGGTGGTAGTCGCATGCAATGAAGGCGGACTCGACGACCAGCTGAATCTGCCGAAAGATAGGCGGGTTGGTGAGGATGAAATGGAAGTGACGTGATAATGACATGGACGGACAGGAAAAAGAAGAGACACATTTAAGTGTGAAAAACCGGGGGAGAATCGAGCAAGTGTTCAACTAAGAATGCGAACAGGCTTAAAGACACCTACACAAAGTGTGACTCGGCCATAACTCCAAATATTGCCACGTCTGAATTCGTTGTTCATATTGTGAGATTACAATAGAGCAAATTTTGTCACGTCATAATCCTCCTCGTGTATGCGAATATGACAAAGGACGATTAGTCTAAAGCCTTGCTTATTTACTGTACAGAATAGGCCAAGATTAAAGTCACGAGGCTGAAGGCCATTATGTCATGTTCTCATCACCCTTAGAGCTGAGGCCTAATTTGTAATGTTTGTCAGTTATCGGCTACAAGTGCTGAAATGAAAGTGGAAGACAACTAGTGACCTCGTTTCGTACACAAAAAGTAGTTTCACTTCACCTGACGAGAGGCAACGTACAATTTTAAGCTGAAACAGCCACCTATGAAGGTCACGCTTGGTTGGACTCGGCTGCAAACCCTTGGCGACATTCTGAAAGGGTAGAAAAAGGAAGTAAACAAATAATGGTGATGAGAATTTGAGTGGAGTGAATAAATGTTGAAAATCTAGAAAAAAATTAGTAAACATTTGATTTTCTAATGGTCTCTTTGGCATAGGCCCAACCAAGAAGACATTATGAAACCGAAATAAACCTTAAATCTGACTTTTTAAAAACCCAAACTGGACTGAAGCACTCGCTGAATGTTGCAGGAAAGCAAACTCAAAGATCCATAAATTAAGGCCCCATAAACACAACCCCAACCCAAGCCTAAACCCCAAGCTAAACGCAATGAATAGTGAGCCACGTGTAAGGCTGTCCAAAAAAGCTCTGAGTCTTGTGTTACGCGAGCCGGGCCAGACGAGTTCTGTTGTCAGGTGGTCAGGTGAAGGGTAGACGCCGTCATGATGACATGTCGATTCTGAGTGATTATATCCACTCGGGATGTTACAGTTGCACCCCTACTTCGGCTGATCCCAGATCGCACAGTGACCCGTTGATACAAAATGAGCGGACGCCGTAGGTTGGCCGTTGAGTCTCCAGCAGGCCTGTCACAGATCATCGAGGATAATAACCAATGGCTGACCCAATTCAGCATAATGATAGCAGAACCATCTAGTCAACATCTCCAGGTGCACGCATGAACATTTAAGCGTGCGTGCGTGTCTGCATGTAGTCTATACAGTGAGATTTCATTCTACGCCCACAGTTGTACATGTGTGTGCGATAAGCTGCCGTCAATCAGTTCGAAGTCACATTTTCGATGCGAATACTGTCTTGGATAAAAACTCTGATCATCCAAGATTAAATTACGGGCACAATGACTGATAGTCTCGGAGACCTACTCACATGTAATATATGTAGTTTATCACCAGTTATGGCGAAAACAGGATTTTCCTATGGGCAATATCACCTGAAAGTGTGATTTGAGACGGGCCTGGCTGTTCCTGTGACCCACTGGCCACCAGTGGCTGTTACATATAGCCACTTGATGCGAAGGACGAGGTTTTGAATCCTGTTGAGGGTTCATCTGAGACCAAGATGAGGTTAAAGTGCAATCAAGCCGAGAGAAGAGACCTTCCTGGTAGGCAGGAAGATACAAGAACCACCGCAGAATGCGATCTGGTAAAATCTCTGGACTTCCTTTAAATTCACATTTGACCTGTGGCCCAATTGCACTCGTGGTATTCGGGATTATATGCTGCATTATCATGGTTCAAGTCCCACTGGTGTTCATGAGGAGACCAATGCGAAGTCGAAACTGCAGTCAAGCATGGGATGAAAATACCTTTTATGAAGCAGGGCTATATGGAATTTAATGGAAACATAAGGCCTACTCATAAGATTGTGGGAAAATTCAACAAGGAAATAGAGCGAATACATCTCATAGCTTTGATTGTTTCTACCGAAGGTATGAAGACTAAGATGGTGTAGCCTTTTGTGTGGTCGCAGTCTCCTTTCGTTGTATAGAGGCTGTTTGACGTTGTTTTCGCAACATGGTTATATTGGTAGGAAGACTTAATGGAACGCACCTAGTCCGGGGTCCATTGTCTGCATGATCAATTCCAAAGT